AGAAAGAAAGAAAGCTTCAAAAATTTTAAGTTATATTTATAGTTTATACTATATTTTATTGCATAGAACTAAGTTTTTAAGGATTGAAAATTAAAATGTAGGTGAGCCTCACAAGCGCAAGGTCCTGAGTTTGATCCCTGGCACCCCCTCCGAAAGAAAATAATAAAATAGAATAAAATGTAGGTGATAATGGAGGTAGCTCAATGGTAGAGCCTATGCTTTGCATGTGTGAGGCCCTGCATTCTATCCCCAGCATCCCAACAAAAGTAATTTTATTTGAAGTCTATAAAATTTGAATAACTTTCATAAAAATGTAAAATATCAAAAATTTTAAATATTTTTCTTTTTTTTTTTTGTACTGGGGATCGAACTTGGGACCTTGTGCTTGCGAGGCAGGTGGTGGAACCACTGAGCTAAATCGCCAGCCCATTTTTCTTTTTTTTTTAAAATAGTCTCTCACTATGTAGTTCAGGCTGGTCTTGAACTCACTATGTAGCCCAGGCTGGCCTCAAACTTGAGGCAATCCTTCTGCCTCAGCCTCTTGCATGCTGGAATTATAAGCCTGTGCTACCATGCCTGACACATAGCATATTTTAAAAGATCTATTAAAAACAAGAGACAGGGCCAGGGATTTAGTTTAGTGGTGCCACACCTGCCTTGCAAGCCCAAGGTCCTGAGTTTGATCCCCGCTACTGCAAAAACTAACAAACAAACAAAACAAGAGACAGTAATCCTAGCACTTGGGAGGTTGAAGCAGGGGGATTGCCACAACTTTGAGGCCAGCCTGGGCTACACAGAGAGACCCTGTCTCAAAAAACCAAATAACAATAACCAAAAACAAAAGACAAAGGCAATTGAGACTAAGAAAACAGGACAAAGAATCAATGAATCAAAGAGTTGGTTCTTTGAATGATTAAATAAAATTGACAAACCCTTAACCAACCTTATCAAAAAAGAAAGAAAGAAAGAAAAAAAAGACTCAAATCCATGCACTTAGGAATGAAAAGGGTGAAATCACAACAGGTCCTTCAGAGATCCAGAAGATAATCAATACCTACTTCAAGAATCTATATTTAATAAGATGGAAACCACAGAAGAAATGAACAGATTCCTAGATACATATGAATTTCCAAAGCTGAATCAAGAAAATTGAAAAATTCTAAATAAACCAGTATCAATCAATGAATTGAAGAAGTAATTAAAAACCTACCAACAAAGCCCAGAAATCAGTGTGGAGATTCCTCAAAAATCTAAAACTAGAGGTTTCATCTGACCCAGCTATTCCTCTTCTTGCTATCTTCCTGAAAGAATTAAAAGCATCATACCACAGCCATATGTGCATACCCATGTTTATAGCTGTGCAGTTTGTAATAGCTAAATTTTGGAAACAGCCCAAAGAGCCATCAACTAATGAATGGATAAAGAAGATGTGGGTTTTTTTTTTAATACAGTAGAATATCACTCTGCCAAAAGAAGGATAAGCTTGAGACATTTCTAGCTAAATGGATGCACTTTGAGACCATACTCTTAAGTGAAATAAATTGAATACACATGTTTAAATACTGCATTGTTTCTCTGGTGTGAGAAACTGAAAGTGTAAATACGGACCAAAATGTATAACAGATATTGGGAAATGGGAAGAAAATGTTCTAATGAGAAGGGGAACAAGGGAGTGGGGAGGAAGAAAGGAAGGTAGGCACAAGGAAAAAAAAGAGAAAAGAAAAAAATGGAAACAAAGCTTTTATAAATAAGGAGGGGGGAAGAGGTGTTGAAGGAGAGAAGGAAATGGGAAAAAAAGAAGCGTGATATATCATGTACAGGTACAAATTCCTAATAGTGAATGTAATCACTATGTATATCTAAAATATACCAATAAAAAATAAATTAGAAAAATAAAGAAAGGTGACTAATCCAAGGGGCTAGTAATCTTTGAGTTTATACCTTTTATATTTGAAATAAATCATTTTTGCTGGCTATAAAAAAGAGACAAGCTGGGTGTGGTGGTGCACACCTGCAATCCCAGAACTCAGAGGCTGAGGCAGGAGGATCACTGAGTTGGACACCAGCCTGGGCTATATAGTGAGTTCAAGTCCAGCCTGAACTATATAGCAAGACCCTGTCTCAAAATAAAAAATTTATATTTTTGGCTGGGTTTTAAATGTGTTCAATCTCCATACTGCAAAAATAAAAGAATAGGAAGATGAGGAAGTGAGAGAGAGAGAGAGAGAGAAAGAGGCAGGCAGAGGCAGAGAAGAACTGAGACTGCTTTGCTGGATTTAAAGATGGCTGAGATGGTCAAGGGACCAAAAGCTGAACAATACAAGTGAGCTCTAGAAACTAGAAAAGATAACAACCAGATTCTCCCTTAGTTTCTAGAAGGACTGTAACCCTCAGGACACCTTGATTTTGGGGGTCTGATTTCCACAACTGCAATATAATAAATCTGTGGTTTCTTAAGCCCCTTTGTACTAATTTGTTACAGCACTGATAGTCCATAAATTAGTTGTTTTTCCTCTTGAGTGATTCTGCTCCCCATATTCTCTCTGAGCCCCAAACCAGTTCTCCAACACAGAGGCACACACAACCTACACATTCACAGCATTCAGTGTGGCCCCCTTTCGCTTGGGATTGAAGTTCAGAAATTCCAAAGTGTTTCCCGGGACCTGAGCATGGTTAGTCCTAATAGAGCAGGAGGCCAGGCACAGAAGGTGGCTGAATAGTTGGCACTGCAGTACCTACCAACCCAGAAGATTTACTAACTTTGGCACAGAGCAGCAGTACCCAAGCCCTGCTCCAAGATGAGACATGACAAACCTGGCACCTGATACCAGTCTTCTAGCAGGAGATCCAGTGGGACCACCTGGATCAACTGTTAAAGAAGACATAAAGGATGGCAGCAAGTGACTTTGGGGCCACTGCCCTCTTGTTCTTGCAGTGGTCCATTCTGCTTGCAGGATGCATCATCTCTTTTTCCTTCGAAGCACCCTTCTCTCCTTAAGTATTTTTTTTTTATCCTTTTTCTTATTTCTGCCCTAAAATAAACAGTACTCTTACATCCACCAGTTGTCCTGACCAATTCATTGATTGGTACAAATAAGAACCTGGAAAACACTGCTGGTCCCCACCCCATCTGATGACATTAAGAGATGTTTACACCGCTGTTGATGAGTCAGGGTGGCTGGCCCTTATCACCAGGTCCTCAGTAACAGATTTCCAGAGTTCTGTGTGTGTGTGTTTGCAGTACCAGGGTTTGAACCCACTGGTACTCTACTACTGAGCTACATCCCTGGCCCTGTTTATTTTTCAGTTTGAGACAAGACCTCAATAAGTAACCCAGGCTGGCTCTGAACTTGTGATCCTCCTGCCTCAGGCTCCCAAATTGTTGGGATTATAGGCACGTGCCACCACAGCCAGCTCTATGTGTTCTTTAAATAATTTATTATTTTATGTGTCTGTGATGTGGGCTTTCTTAAGAATAGGCCTCTGAATAAGGGCCTCGGTTGCTTAAGCCCTAAAAGTAACAATTCAATAAGCAGAGAAAAACAAAACCAGAATGAATGAATTTGGGTTTTTTGCGTTTTTTTTTTTTTAACATTGACAACTAATTCGAAATCTAGAAGCAAGGGAAATTAACAGCAGACCTCATTTTTATAATTAGAAAATCCCAAATTCTTCTTGCTGTTAAGGCTCACAAACCAACATCCAGATTATATTCAATAAAGTGAATCCAAGGTCTTGAACAAGCAAAGAATACTCACTATTTTAAAATTAATTTTAGCACTGAAATAAGACAAGAAAAAGAAGAGCTCTAGATATTTGAAAGAAGACAAAAGTATCAATACTTGCAGATGATATTCTACTTAGAAACACAAAAAATCTCCTGGAAAAAGACTATGATGGCCATATTCATAATTACAAATGTCAATATTAAGAGAGTTAAATATACCAAAAATGATAATTTTCTGTATGCCAACAATATGCAGTCAGAAATATAAAGGCTGGGGATGGTGGCACATGTTTGTAATCCCAGAACTATGGGAGGTTGAGGTAGGAAGATCACAAATTCAAGCCCAGCCAGGGCAATTTAGCAATGTAGAGAGACCCTGTCTGGAAAATTTAAAAACAGCTGGAGATGGCCATGCCTGCCTGGCAAGCACAAGATCCTGAGTTCAATCCCTGATACCAGGAAAAAAAAAAAGGATTGGAGATGTAGCTCAGTGTAAAGGCCCCTGTTCAATCCCCAGTATTGCAAAAAAGAAAGAAAAAAGAAAACATAAAGACCCTCCTCCACCTATATGAGAGACATGCAGAGCACACATGAAGAAAAATACCAAACATCACCTACAGGTCTAAAAGAAGACATTCTGATTTGCATGAAAAGCTAAATATTTGAAAGATGTTAATTTTCCCATGGTAGGTTGAAAAATGGTCTCCCTTGTTCTGATCCCTGGAACCTACAAATATTACCTTATTTGGGAAAAGACTCCTTGTCTTCACAGGTGTCCTTAGACACATAGAAGGGGAGGCCATATTGTAACCATGGAGACTGGAGTGGTGCATCCTCACGTGGAGCAATGTGTGGCAGCAGCCACCAGAACCTGGCAGAGGCAGTGAGTGGATTCCTCCCTGTGGCCTTCAGGCAGAGCATGGGACTACTGACCCAGCCCTGATTCTAGAATTTTGGCCTCTAGAATTATGAAAGAATAAATCTATGTTATTTAAGCCGTCAAGTTTGTGTTACTGTATTACAATAGCCACAGGAAACTGATGTAGCCCCCAAATGAATGTATGAATAAACACAACTGAATTTTTCATTTCATTTTTCTAGAATTTGGCAGAATTATTCTAAAGTTTTTCTGAAAATATAAATTATAAAAATAGCCAAGGCAGGAGGTGTAGCTGATAGAGCCTTTGTTCAGCATGTGTAAGGCCCTGGGTTCCATCTGCACCAATGGACACACAGCCAAATTTTTTGTTATTATTGGTTTTGTTTTTTGCAGTTCTGAGGATCGAACCCAGGGCTGTGGCTGGAACTCGCCGTCTTTTTACTTCAGCCTCCTAGAGTGCTGGGATCACAGGTGTGCACCACCATACCAGGCAGAAACCAGGATCCTGCATGTGCTGGGCAAGCACCCTACGCCTAAACTGTACCCTCAGCTCTACCAAGATATTATTGAAAAAGAGAACTACAACAAAGAAGGACTTGCACTGCCAAATATTTAAATGTACTTTAATGAAATTTTGAGTGCCATAAAAAACAAACAAGTCAGCTGGGCATGGTAGCACATGCCTGCAATCCCAGCACTTGGGAGGCAGAGGCAGGAGGATTGCCATGAGTTTGAGGCCAGCCTGGGCTACATGGTGAGTTCAAGGCCAACCTGAACTACATGGTGAAACCCTGTCTCAAAAACAAAAACAAAAGAACAAAGAAGCCACTTAACAGAATAAAATCTAAAATGAAATCTGCATTTAGATAGATTTAGAATATAATTAAGATGGCAGTTCAAATGGTTGGGGACAGTATGACTTATTCAATAGATGTTGGACAATTGCTGACTATTTATTAAAAAAATAAACTTAGATCCCTTACTTTATACCATGTATCAACTTACTTATTTTATTTTATTTTTTTAGGTTTTTGAGACAGGGTCTCACTATGTAGTTCAGGCTGGCCTTGAACTCACTATGTAGCCTGCCTCACCCTTCAGAGCACTGGGATTACAGGTGTGGGCCACCATGCCCGGCTTCCATGTATCAATTTAATTCATACTATGAATTAATTTAATTCATTAAATTTAATTAAAACAGTGAAAAAATATTTTTGACATGAGAGACGGTCATAGTACACTCCCCCCCTCAGTACTGGGCACTGAACTCAGGATCTTGCACTTGCCAGGCAGGCACAGGACCACTGAGCTAAATCCCTGACCCAGAGTGCACTACTTTTTGTTAGTTTTTTTTTGTTGTTATTGTTGTTAGTTTTGTTTTGTTTTCATTTTGAGTCAGGATCTAGCTTTCTACTCAGGCTGGCCTGAAACTCTCTACGAAGTCCAGGCTGGCCTTGAACTTGGGATCCTCCTGCCTCAGGCTCTCAAGTACAGGGATTGCAGGTGTTTACCATCATGCCTGGCACAAGGCAGTGTTAATTTAAGCCACATTACAATATAGTATGTACTGTGCTATCTGTACTATTCCATTTAGAATTTTATATTACATACATACGTGGTTTCAGAAAGAGCTAGAAAAGTATAGGTCAAAAGCTAGCAATACTTTTTCTGAGTGGTAAAATAATAGGCAATCTGTTTGTGTGCTTATTTGTTTGAGACAGGGTCTTGCTATGTAGTTGAGGCTGGCCTTGAACTCACTATGAAGCCCAGGGTGGCCTCAAACTCATTGAGATCCTCCTGCCTCAGCCTGTTGAGTGCTGGGATTACAGGCGAGCAGTGTTATCCCCCAGCTTTCTTTTTCTTTTTTTTTTTCTGGTACTGGGGAGCCTAGTGCCTCACCCACTCACACATTTGAGGCAAGCACTCTATCACTGAGGTACATCCTAGCCCTCTCCTTTATTTTCTATTTATTTTTCAATTTTTTTTTATTTCATTTTTTGATACCGGGGATCAAACTCGGGACCTTGTGCTTGTGAGGTAGGTGGTGGAACCACTAAGCTAAATCCCTCACCCTATCTTTTATTTTTTAAAATTTAAACTTTAAAAAAAATTGAGACAGGGTTTCACTAAACTGCCCAGGCGGGCCTCAAACTTGTGATCCTCTTGTTTTATCCTCCTGCTGGGATTACGGGTGTGTACCACTGCACCCAGCTCATCTGTTTTTTTTTTTTTTTTTTTTTCTTTTTTGATACTAGGGATCAAACTCAGAACCTCACATTTTCAAGACAGGTGGCAAAACCACTGAGTTAAATCCCTGGCCCTGGTTTTTTTTTTTTTTTAAAACAATGAGTACATATGGATACTGAAAAAATGATTTTATATGTATATATATTTTTTTCTTTTGTACCGGGGATCAAACTCAGGACCTTGCACTTTCAAGGCAGGCACAGTGCCAATGAGCTAAATCCCCAGGCCCTAGAATATATATTTAAATACATATGATTTCAGTAACAGCAATATATCTTCTTCCTCAAGAATAGATATCAGTATGTCCCTTAACAAAATATGTTGTTTTGGGGGCTGGGGATTTATCTCAGTGGTTCCGCCACCTGTCTTGCAAACGCAAGGAACTGAGTTTAATCCCTGGTACCAAAAAACAAACAAGATATGTTGTTTTCACTGAGCACCTATCATTTCTGCAGCAGTTTGTATATTATTTAATGTTTCACAGCAATGTCATGGGATAGGTAGTATAAGCATAAAATGATTTCCATTTTGCAGATGAAGCAAGGCTCAGTGTTAATCATCTAGGAAGCATCAGGACTAGGACTTGAAATCATATCTGTCTTTATTTTTTCCCCTCACAATTTATAGCAGCTTTTTAAAATTGACAATGCAAAAATTGTACATATTTATGCGGCATCATGTAATTGTCCCATACATGTATACATTGTGTAATGTTCAGATCAGGGTAACCCTATCTATTTCCTTAAACATCATTTTTTTAAAGTGAAAATATTAAAATCCTTTCTTCTAGCTTTTAAAAAATATATTATCATTACCTATAGTCACCTTACTGTGCCATAGCACACCAGAACATTTTTCTCTTATCTAATTATAACCCACTGAACCTCCTCCATCTTTAAAGTCCATGTCCTTACTTGTAACATCAAAAGACTGGAATCAATCTAAATGTCTCTTGGTGGTAATGAGTTAAATTACAGGATATCTACAATGTAATATTCTGCCGCCACTAAAAAATGAAGATACAAAATAGCTCCGAGATAAAATATTAAATGGAAAAAACAACAAGAAGAATCTGGATGTACTGTGTAATCATTAGGTACTTCAAACATGTACTAAAAAAAGATCCACTCCAACCACCACCAACAACCTGGCAACATTTATGTTAAAATAGAGTGAAGATTATAGATTTGTTTTAGCATGTAAATGCATAGAAACAGCATTATACAGATAAACAAAAACCTAAACACAAGGTTTTCTATTTGGGGAACTGTAAGTACAGAAACAGGGGAGATACAAGTATATATCTTTTTATGTTTTTATCTTTTTTTAGTTTTGAACATGTAAGTGTACTTATTCAAGAAGTAAACACATATAACACTTTAAAGCCAAAACTAAACCAAACTCTCCTAGTGCTCAGAATCTGTTTTGGAGGCCAGTCCACTTCCCTCCTCAAGCTGACCAGGGAAGCAGGCTCAACACCCAGACCTGGGAAGACGTCAGGTCAGCAAGCAGCCAGGCCAAGTGCACCCTCTTTCTACCCCTGACTTAGAAAAACAAAATCAGTAGGGAAATTGACTCATCAGCTGTTCTGAAGGCAGTTGTTAAACAATTCTCTTCCTGCCCTTTACTCTCCTTTTCTTTCTTTTTCCAGAAAAGCCTGGAAAGCTCTGCAGCTCTCTGCAAAGTGCTTTAGTAGCTCTGGCTGCCTTGTTTTCCTTCTCTCTTTTGGCCTGTGTCATCCTCCCAGTCTGCAATCAGACTTCCTGCCAGCTCGCCTGCAGGGTTCATCTGTCTTAAAACAAAACAAAAAATACCTCCCAATATTTTCATAGAACCTACAAACCTCAACTTACAAGTTATCTTGTCCAATTCCCTTCACAAAGCAGAATACTTTATCCTGGTTGTAAAATTTAGCAGAGTAATCTATTTGGTTTTAAAATGAAATCCCTTGGTTTCACTTTGTCGATCCAATCAGCTCCAAGTGACAGTTCTTATAAAATATCTGCTCTTGTGAAGAATCCCATGGGGCAAGTCTATTTGTGTGTGGAGTCAGTCCCTGCAGTGAGCCCCAGTAAATTTCCATTCAGTAATCCAGGGACTGTTAATCGACACCAAATATGTATCCATCACTGTCTGAGGCCCTGGGCTGGGGACAAAAACAAACATAAGATCCAGCTTCTGCCCTCAACATTGTATCTGGTTTAATGTGCTTTGTTTTAAAAATCCATTTGCAAGGTCTCTATTACATCACTGAGTTGTGAACATTTTCACGATTATGCGTTAGAAAAACGATGTATAGGCAAGGCTTTCTCCCCTCTCTCCCTTTTTTAAGGGCTCAGGGGAAGTAGCTTTTCTATTGCAAGGATCACAGCTGAAATTCAAACTCTTGGTAATGCAATCCACATTAAGATTCACTAACTTCTCAGAGTGTTAATTTAGCCATTGCAGTGTTGTAGCTTTCAGCTTTCATTAGCTAGAACTCCTTGGTAACTGTGCAGGAAATCTGAGATGTCTGCTTGGTGTGCTCAAGGAAAGGTTTTGCTCAAGTCAAATGTGAATCAAAATCAAGTCATTCTTAGGGCTGGGGATTTAGCTCAGTGGTTCTGGCACCTGCCTCGCAGGTGTGAGGTCCCAAGTTCAATCCTGGTACCAAAAAAAAAGCAAGTCGTTCTCATAGGCACTAAAACAATCACAGACACTAAGCATGGTGGGGATTCGGGCATCTAGAATCATACCGTGTATCTCCCCCGGGGACTCTGGGCCACAATGCTTCTTCCTTCCCTGGAGTGCTATTAAAGTTGCTGGGAACCCAGAAGGCCCAGGAGACAGCCCACTCACTCCCCATTCCACACGTAACAACGTCACCAGGAAGGATACCTTGGGAATCATTCTTCACCGCCTTATTCTCAAATGAAAACCCCAGTGAGGCAGAGGATAACAACCACTACAGACTGTAAGTAGCAGCAAGAAGCTGCTACACACCAGTGGCTCCCACACATCTGTGTAAAACACGCTAGCAGGAAGAAGGAGCAATATGTCCCTCGGGTTTCCTGTCAGGACATCCTGGTTTGAGACACAGGACTGTCACTGGAAAATGAAAGCTAACTGACAGACAGGAAACTTCCAGGTCACGTCCTTGAGAATCTCAGAAATCTGTCAGCTTGCAAAATACAATATACCCACTTGTAAAAGTGGGTATGAAAATCATGTGTTCCAATTAATGACAAAGAGTTTTTCTTCCAGGTGAAGAGGAACCTAGGAACATGAGGGCATGAAGCAGTTCAAGGAATCTGGCCTGGGGCAGGCTCCATAAATAGATACCATGCAGCAGCCTTGGAGAAATTTTGTCATAAGGATGTGACACACTCAGGGTACAAGCATTACCATATAAACGGCAGACTCTGTTCTGATTGTGACTCTGAAGATTACTTGTTAATTCGCCAATGCTTTTGGACCCTGCATGCCTCACCTCCTGACACTGGACCGTATAAGGCTATACAGTGAACAGTATAAGAAGTCTTCTGGGAGTGTGAAGGAGAATCCATTAAATGCAGGGTGTAGGCTAGGGCCCTGCACTTTGGGCAAGATAGTCATGGCAAGGATCAGACAGAACACTCATCTGTTCATTAATTTTTATTTATTTGTGTTTTGGGTTTGTTTGTTTGTAGACAGAGTCTTGCCTTGTAGTTTAGGCTGATTTGAACTCACAATGTAGCCCAGCTTGGCCTTGAACTCAAGGCAATCCTCCTGCCTCAGTCTCCCAAGTGCTGGGATTACAAACGTGTGTCACCATGTCTGGCTTTCATTCATTAATTTATTCATTCAACAAATATTTATAAAACTCCTCTGAGGTTTCAAGTACTATGGTAGGTGCTTGGAAATGCAAAGGTGAATGAGAGTTCCCTGTCTTTACTAAATTCACAGTCTAAAACAGGAGCACACACCTCTGATCCCAGCACTTGGGAGGCTGAGGCAAGAGGATTGCCTCCTGTTCAAGGCCAGCCTG